CAGCTCCATTCATTTGCATAATTAAGATAAAAAATCCCACCAAAGTACAAACAGGTGTTAAAAGACCTCAGTTAATCCACTGCATGGAACAATTTGAATAATGTAAAGAGGGATCCATTGCCTTGACAAGAAAATGAAATGGTAACTAGAAGCAAAACACTGCGCAGTAAACTTAATCACATTTAGGACACCACTGTTATCAGAAAAGGAAGAAAAATTGTAAATAGGTCCCTCAATATCATCAAGCAGAAATGTATTTTCTTGTAAATTGTTAAATCTATTGTACCAGCGACGTAGACCTTTGAATCCCAGTCACGGCACGGACTGGCATTCTTAGAAAGCAGCAATAAACTGTAGAACAATAAACTGAATTGTTCACTGAGATCAACATGGAACAGATTGGAATATCAAGAAATTAGAGTGGCCTTACTATCTGGAAAGAATTATAAATAGCAAATAGAATTCTAAATGGAAAATAAGTGAAGAGCAAGCAATAAAGTGAAAGTACATTTGTGGAGTGTGGGGAACTAGCCTAGATTACACGTTTTGGTAAAATTGTGACTTTTAAATGACACTTGAATGAAGAATGAATTAATCTGCAATGGAATGCCACTGAGCTCTTCATTCTTCATTATGACATAAAAGAAAAAAAATGCCAATTCCAAATGAAAATTCCACAAAACTTATGTTTTTTTTCCAGAATGATCGAAGGTACTTTTTCTTCCAGACATTTAGCTAACACAACAAGAAGCTGAACTGTATAATGGCTGTCCTTTTCTTCAATCACAGCAAAGATCAAACGCTCAGTGATGTGTGCTGATAACCATGAAATCTATGTCTTCAAGACAGACATCACCAATTGTGATTGATGACAAGAAGTTGTTTTCAATTACAGATCTCAGAGGTAAGTCATCTGACCACCATTGTAACTGTAAAGAAACCTGGAAGAAACCGTCACCTGGGACTGGGATACCTGCGCGGGGAGGAAAGCCGTGGGGAAAACTGAGCAGTAATTCTACAGACAGTGGCAGGCAGACAGCTCACGTGGCCACACTGGGACACATGCACTGAGATCAATGAACATGGCAGCTCTAGACTACAGTTAGTCACATTGGGTGGATTTCAAGCCAGCGCAGTACCGAGGAGAGGAAGCCATATACAAACATGTCTGAAGGATTATCTCACAATACATGTAGTTTTTACTCATCAGGTCAGTAGTAAACAAAGGACAAATTGACGTGATAATCAAGTGTCCAGTAGGACAGAGAGGACAGAGCGAGGAGTCAGGCTTAATGTAGGTATTATCTTGTCTCTTTACATGTTCTTAACTTATTTCAAAACTAGGCATGCAGTACTGCAAACTATATAACTGTGGCTGGTTTTTGAAAAGCAGCAGTAAATTCATGCAGAGAGAATAAATATTAGTTAATAAAAGGAGGCAAGTCATACAACAAACTAGAAGAATTTAACAACAAGATAACATCTTCTGTCACGTTTCACTAAAAAGCACAACAGGAATCATAATATTTGACATTTGGAATTTTTCACACTTAGTAATAATAGAACACCCAGGAGGATTTGCACAGTTTAAAAAATGTCTCGTGAAAGAGCTAATTTGTAAAAGAAGACAGCTTTGTGAAGCATCTAAGTTGACAGTGTCATATTTTAATGTCAATCTGAAAAACTTCTGTGAAAATTTTCCAGTTGACAACCATGCTTTCTTGGCACCAAATTCAACATGAATTAAGACAAAATGAAACATTTGCATCAAAACTTATGCAAATCAATTAGTTTGCAGCAAAACATCCTCAAGGAGTTAACAGAATAATAATAATAATAATAATAATTTTTTTTATATAATAAAATCATAACCAAAATGTTGAAGTTATACAAAGAAATTAATTCAAGTGAAACTTTAAAAAATATCCACAAAATAAGACCCACTGAGCTCAGGTTTCTAAATACTGGATACAGAAAACAGAATAAAAGTGTTGTGAAAGACCTCCATATTAAACTTTGCCAGTCAGGAATCACTAACAGGAAGACAAGGATGGAAACTGCCATCATTTGCATAGCTAATGATATGTTAATCCATATGACATCATCAATTAAACAAAAAAAGATGCCAAAACTGCTCATTGAAAGAAGACTTAAAAACTGTTTTTGTCTGCAACTTTCAAAGATTAAAAAAAATCTCGATAATTATAGTGAGACAGGCAAGACTCTCTTTTGTCTACATGCCTTTCCAAATATACATGGAGCCAGCTTTGTTGCATGAGGTGTGTGTGTGCGTCGTGCATGCATGCGTGCGTGTGTGAATGTGTGTATAAACATCCACCTGTTTCATTCTACAAGATTCCTGTCATACTTGTCTCTAACTCTTACTTATCTCTACTATAACCTTGTTGTTATTTCACTGACTTTCAACGCCACTTTTTTTTTTCATGCCTAGTTGCAATCAGATAACAGTATATGTGATCCTAACCTGGAAATAAGATTTGTTCTGTGAAATCATCTCATCTAAAGTGCCCATCAATACTTGCTAGCATTAATGCGTATTGTATCAATCTCAGCCATGTATACTATTATGCCAATTGAATCAAGTAGAAGATTGTGAAGTAAAGAGGCAAGGACTGAGAGGGTTAATCGGAACAGCTTCTCATATCAGCCTTCACAAAATCCCTGCTTCTGTTGTCTACTTCTGCTTAATGACTGGACATTCCCTATAGGGAGAGGATGCAAAAGTACAACCAAAACGGCAAACTAATGAAACAAGCAACATTTTAAGGTTAATAACACAGTTGTAGTCAGCAATTTCAAATGGGAAGGGGCCCTTAAAAAATGCTTTATCTTCATAGATGACCTTATACCAACTTGAGAAATGGCATATAAAACAGATCAAAATTTGATTCAGAATAGACCTTACCTAGCCAAAAGGGGGGTTCATAGCTCTCCCCCAATGTGAAGTAGGTCTGTGTTTATCACTAGCAGGTCAACTTCAAATCAAATATCATACAGCCAACACCATTCCCTGAACCTCAACAGTAATATCACTCCTAGTTACAAATTAGAGTCAAATGATGCAGAACTGCTTTATGATTCCTGGAAATGGCAGGGCTATCATCAAGAACTTCTGACTAGTGAATGCCAGTTCATCAGTATTAATATCTCGCCCCCCCTTCCCCCCCCCCCCCCCAAAAAAAAAAAAAAAAAAAAAAATCCATACTCAGGGGCGTAATTCATCTGCTGAATGTGATTATAATGATAGCATTATTTTTCAACAAATACCTTAGTACAAAAAGTTATAAAAGAGATAATTAGATTCTACAGTCCACAATAACACAAACTCCCACAGACTGCAATTCAAAGTAATCAAAATCATGTAACATCAAAACAATGTCCACTCAAGACTGGTGATCTCGGCAGATTAATTTCTCTCTCCTCCAGAACTAGGTATATTACCAATCACAAAGAGGCTAAAAAGAGGGTCCACGGGCCACTCCTCTGGTATAAGGCTGGGCTTATATGGTCAGCACTGCCCATTATTTGAAAAAAAAAAGACTGAAATCAATACAACAAAATACTTTTCACTGGCATTCAACCACAACAAGCTTAAAACCATTCAACAGCCTGAATACCTAAGGCTTAAAACTTCTCAGAGAATTTTATTAATTACTTAGGTAAATTATTGTGTTAAGAGTATTTATACTTTTTAATCTTGAGGCCGGGGGGGGGGGGGGATGTAGCACCATGCTATTTCCTTTTAAATTAATTATGCTGTTCATCAAGGAAGGATGATTACATGTAGTTTTTTGCTAAATGGTTGTCATGTTGTGTGACTATTTAGAGATATCAAGAAACAAAGAAAGTATTCAGACAAAGCAATGCTGGAGATTAGTGATTAACAAAGATAAATTTATATGAGGTTCTTTGTAATTTTTCTAAACATGAAAAAAATGTTCAGATGCAGACATGATGAAACCCTATAGGGGAAAAACCAAAAAGAGATTAAATTGCTTGAAACAATGCTTTCAAACATTTTACTAACAATCCAAAAGATTTTTCTGTACTTAAATTTTTCATTACTTACACCACAAAAGCCTTCTCTCAATCTTATGGTAAATTACCGAAAAATGATTTTCTCAAATTTTACATTATAAATCTATTAGACCAGGCACTCATACATCATAGGCCAATGGTCTTTTATTTCTACAGCAAATTGGGGTCATGTCTGTCTCCAGTAATGCCGGGACAGCTGGTCAGAGTGTCCACTTAAAAAAAGCAGGTGCTTCTAGACAAACACTGGCTTTGTTCTCTGGTACAATAATACATGCACCCCCCCCCCAAATTTTCTTACACTTTCAATATCCACCCACTTGGCTGATTTGAGATCATTCAATCAGCTTTTTAAACTTTAAAAAATTAATAGAATATACAGAATCAATAGACCTGAAGAGGAGGAGGTCAGTTATTATAGGCTGTTCTACCAGTGGATATTGCAGGCAGGATAAAGTATATTGTCATTTTAGTAATAATAGGTCAAAAGGTCAGTGGAAAAAAGTGCTGTGCTGACCACATGTCAGCTGCACCTGTCCATGGAAACAGAAAGAAAACCGTTAGGGAGAAAAAAATAAAACAAAAACCTAAACAGAGACACCACTTGCTAGTCATATGAAATAAAACTAATATCAAATGCTGAAATAGACATTAAATGTAATAAGGGGAAATAAGAGAACATTTTATGTTCGCCCACAACTACAAGACAAAAAAGGAAACTAATAAGAAGACAATTATATTTTGCCAAGTAATAGGTATTAAAAAGAAATAAGGCCCTAATTATGTGTTTCTTGATATCAGCAATAATGAAAATAAATTGGAAAAAAAATTATAATTGAACAGGCAATTTTGTTTATCTCAAACATAAATGAGCTGGGTGGTGCATTTAAAAAGAGTAAATTCTCCACCTTCCACTGATGACAGATGTTGGTGGGTTCTTGGTGTCCTAAGCCCCCCACAATTATCTTAATATGATAGTTTAAATATCCTATAAAGGGAGAGCCAATCTTTATCAGGAGGCACAGTACACAGTAATTCATTTTTAACATGATTTTTTTCCTTTAACTGACTTTGAAATGGATATTTATGTTCAAAATGAATAATATGTCTAGTGTATAGTTGAATACACACAGGAAGGACATTAGAGGCTGGGTTAACAGGAAGATCAACTAAAAACTCCAGTCCACATTTACTTTGCATTTAACTTTGTTAAACTCCCCAGGCTTGACTGCCAAGAACACGGCAATAGCCCCTTGGCTGAGTCAGTTATGATGTTTTATTCCACAAAGTGATACTATTTGGCCAGGAAAGAAATACAAAAACCCTGAATTGCACCACACCTATCATTTCTTATAATAATTTATTTTACAGTGTAAAATACAGTGAAACCAAGAGTCTTGGTGTTTGATGTGTTTTCCATACTGCCATTCCTACCACTAACTAAACAAATTAAATAAATCTCCAACATCAAATTGCCTTTATCAAAATAAACAGTACTGAGAAAAAAAGTAAAAATGATCTAGTCCTAAAAACAATTTCTACTGGGATTTTGCGGGCACACAAATATTTGCTTCACAGGAAATTCTCCTAGTGAAGCTAAAACCTTCAGTAAAAAGTGAATAGTGGTCTTACTGTACAAAACATCTCCTGCTAATACCTGTACACCCTACAAATATAAATCTTTTCCAGTTCATTGAGTTTTATGCTAGAATGCTGAGTACAGCCATCCAAAGTACATAAAGAAAGTTCATACTAGAGTCATCATTAGAACTTCTTTACAGAAAGAAAATTGGTCAAAATAAAATCTTGCCTTTTGAATTAAATAACTACATAAATCTTACTCTGTGCAACTTAACTCTAAGACAAAGCTTTAAGAGGATCAGTGGAAGTCATATACAACTATGAACTTTGATTTTTTTGTTTCATTTAAATTAATGGCCTTGCTTGCTGTTCAATGACACTACTGTAATCCAAATTTTAAGTAAAGAAGCACCCTCTGAGCAGACGTACAATCGTGTAATTTCTGGCTTCAAAGCCTGGCCCATACAAATAAAGGGAATCTATCCATTCATCACTTCTATCACGGTGGGCCCTCTCAGCCAATCAGATTGCAGCTCTCACACAGCGTGGCCCACGTTAAGAGTTGAAGTTCCACATGTCTCCAGTATAAAGCAGGCTGACCACTAACAGACACAGGGTAGGAACCAATGTGATGTCATTAAAAAATAATACATTAATATGATTTATTTATATATCTGACAGATGGGCCAATCCTGGCCCTGTACTGTGAAAGAGGTGTGAAAGAAAATAACAGCACTAACCAAAACCGCATAATGAGTCGAAGCATTCATTACCATTATACTGGGTCCTAGTTTATTTTCCTTCCTCCTTGGACCATCTGACATACCTAGGAGAGGAGTTATTCTGTTATAATTCCTGCCCACATGATATAATTTCAGATGGTGTAAAGAGGCGAGATCAGTGAGGCCAGTCAGTGAAGTTGAAGACAATGTGTGTTAAGTCTGTGTTCTGGGCTCTGGCACTGGTGATTTTTATAAGAGGTGAGTTGGAATTAGAAGAGAAAATTATTGTGAAATTTTTTCTCACTTTTTTTAATCACTCATTTTTTTAAAAAATACTTTTTTGATTTATAATTACTCACCCATTCTTTACATACTAAATTTTGCACTGTATTTTTGTATCAAAGTTTTGAAATGAATTTACATCATAAAAAAACAATCTTTTTCAATTCATGTTGACAAATTCTGTGATAAACTAATTCAAGAATAAGGAGCACAAAAATAGCTTTTAATCAAATGTGGCTTCCTGTTTTCCCATAATCTCACCATTAAAGCTCTGGAGAACAAAAAGTTAAAGGTTGGAGTAGGAAATACAATATTCAGTGTCTTGCATAAAACAGTAACATATATCATTCGGCTACAAATAGCCTCATTGTACGTGATATATTTGACAGTTCAAGGGAAATAGGTGCAATATGCATGTCCATAACAACCTTCACATAAAGGATGATTCTTGTGAGCCAGAATCAACAAAATTTTCTCTTAATATTCGCCACAAGGTGTGCATGAGGATAGGAAAGCACCAGTAGGAGAACAGAAACTACCTCAAGTTATTTGGAAGTCGGGTCTAATTACTTCCTGATCTCTTTTCTGACATTTTGCTACAATAGTGCTAAGTTTGAAAAGAAATATTTACTGAGCTAAGTAAACTGATTTAAGTTACAAGAGCCAATTATAAGCACCTAATAACACTCAAATCAAATAAGTAATAATTACAGGTCCATTTAACGCAACTAAATTCAAATAAAAGTCCCGTAAGTTTAGGACAATTAACAGAAATATACATAAATTTGTAATGAAAAAAAAAAAAAAAAAAAACACTGGCTGGTGTAAAGCAAGATTAGGGATGAATCCAAAGATTCCTTTTAGTATCTACTGAGTAAAGAAGTACGGTAAAAACTTAAAAATTTAGTTGATCTTGAAATTTTTGTCCGAAGATGATTCTTTGCCAAAATAAATTTTTCTACTTAAAAAATTTTGTCAAGCTTTAAAATGGGCCTCTTGATAATTTTGAGGCTTGTTACATAATATGACCATGTTGGATTCATGCACTTAAAAATATCAATTTATTCTTAAGAGATGAAATTTTAAAGTTTTTACCGTAATGTACTTGACAAGTCTCTCAAGTTGAAAGGTTCCCGAGGGGGCAGTGTTATGTCAGGGCATGGTCAGGGTATCAAGTGACCACATGTTTTTAGTGTCCCAACAAAAACTGTCTCAAAGCCAGTTGTCACCTGATTCCTTCCCAATCATCCCTGCAATATCCATACTTGGGGCCCAGCTCATAGATGAGTGTGGCCAGGAGTGAGGATTTTCCACTTCTCTACTCAGGGGTATTGTGTATTATCTGGCATTAACACACCATTACATATCAACTGGTCCATCTCCACTGCCTCCTGTACTTCATATAGTAAGGTAAAACAGTGGGGACTCGGCCGAATCCATGCAGTGATAATATTTAATCTTTACAGCATGGCTCACTGCCCCCTTCCCCTCTCTCTGGTCTATGTGCTACTGTCCTACAACAGGATAAGAGAGAGTCCTGTAAACCCTGCCTAACAACACATATGATACCTAATGGAATCATGTCCTGTCAAAAGAGAATGTTTTCATTCAAGTTTGGAATCAGTTTGTCTCCTTGGCTAAATACCTGACCTCTATATGACTTTGATCTCTGACAATACATCCCCCCACCCTTCTTACTTAAAAGACCCTATTTCTGCTCCCTTTACTGATATGTTACACAATTCTATCCATTGATCAAGTTCAATTAGAAAAAAAAGCGTGAACTTTTAGCCCAACTTTTTGTCACGGCTCACAACCTTACCAAAACTGGGACCAACCAGAACTGTTCAACTGACTGATACTGACAGAGTTGGACCAAGTAGTAAAAACAGATAACATAGTTATATGCTTCAGAAATATTAAAAGATTTGACTCAATTTAGAAAAACTTTGAAAAATAAATTGATTAAAAAACAGCATGGGAAATACAAAGTTTTTCTTTTAGGAAAATGTTTAATTTTTTTCAACAACTTTTTAAAGCCTCAACACAATTTCTCTACAAATATCTTTAGTAAAAAATAAAAAAAAAAAGAAAAACAATGAATAATTTTTTTTCAATATCTGAAATCAATCTAGAAAAGAAAAATAAAGGGTGATATAGTGGAACTTAATACATTTAAAAAGTTCTTTTTTTCTGTCACATGGCACAGCTGGTGTTTGATCTGCAGATCCATGTACACAACAAACAATAGAAATTTTACAGAGTAAAGTAATGCTTGGTCAAACATGTTCTGAAAGCAATTTCCCAACATAGATACTTGAGCAGAAACTTCCTATCCAGCAGCCAAATGTAGGGAAATCAGTTCCAAGCTATTACTCTGCAATGTCCTATGTAATTCTACTACAATGACTGAAAGTTTTTCTCCTAAATCAAAATCTAGTACTGCCCCTACATAACGGCAGCAGATAGCATACACTGTCTGCAGCATTGTCTAAAACACCAAGAAAAACAAATTTTTTACTGTATTTCATTTTTTTAAAATTAAAAGCCAAAACAAGTCTTTCCATTGATACTAAATATCATTCCCCACACGTCTCGTTAGAAAGAACATCACATGACCAAAACAACATGTGACAAAAGATGCTAAACACAGTTTTTGCAATGTTGCCTTTAATCATTTTTTTCTTCTGCATATTTTAATATATTATAGCAAGCAAATGCAGAATTAAATGAGCCAAAAAGGTCACCACCTTTCCTTTTATTCACAAGGGTTACAATCACAAAAATATTCTTAATCTTGGAAGAGCTCCCAAAGTAAGCAAAATGAAAATAAATATTATGCTTGTAGTAGTTTCCACAAACAAATAAGCAAAAGCATGTAGAGGTTTTAATGTTTTTAATGTTGTAAAAATGACCACTTTGTTACATTATCTGACATCTGAACTAAATTAAGTTGAAAAGTGCAGTAAATATATGTACAGAAGGCCAGTGTATCAATCAATCAATGCCTTTTAAGCACATTTACTTTGGTAACACAAGACCTATAGAAATCCATTCTAATCACTGTGCAGGTAAAATTACGGACTGAAGCTTACAAAATTTGAGGAAGATGGGCACTTGGTTTCCCATATTTCATTTTCAATTGGACAATTCAATAAAGCAAATTAGATTTTGGTGAAAAGCTAAGCATCTAAAGGGCTGAAAGCCGCTTGGTTAAATTGAGTTAAACTCCCACTGGAAGACCTAGTTAATGCTTTCACCAGCCATGGCAGACATAAACTGCTCTGAAACTGACAGAAATGTTGAGCAAGTCTACACACCCTTGTCACATACTTGTACACTCCACTTGTAATATGTAAGAAAACAACCTTTCTGGGAACAAGAAGTCAAGATATAAATTTCAGAGTAAACTTTTTTCATAAATATCAGTTTGAAGAAATGAAAACACTTTTTATGCAATTTAAAGTAATGTTGGTGCAGACAAAAAGTATGTTTTCTATCTCTTAGTAGTCAATTTGGATTGTTTGGCAAATAGTATGGGAAATTCAATAAAATTTTAAAAACAAAAAAGTCAGCATAATTTTTACTGATAAAGTATCAATTGAAAGTGTCTTAGTCAGATCCGCACACTTGAAACTATAATGTGTAATTAATATACAAAATAAACTATACAAAAGTCAGACAAAAATCATGATAATAAATTTTTTTTCAAATTTCAGCTGAATCTACACAAGAATGTGATTGGACCCGTGCGCGCATGTGCTTTGATGGATTTCTCAGAGTTAACATGACCAGCATCATGCAGCCTCCCGTAGATATCGGCAGGTTATGTAGGTAAGAGTGGAGAGTATATTGTGGATATTGGCAGGTTATGTAGGTATAAGAAGGTGACATTATATATATGAAGGAAACACTGACATGAAGCAGATATTGCCTTGTTTTGACTGCCATTAGCTCTGCTGTGCTGTTGAAAGAGTCCTGCATACTAAGAGGCCCGCACTGGGATTTCTGAGAAAAGAGACCTAATTTGAGAAGAAAAATTGGCAGAACTTTTTGTGAGATATCGATTAATGTTAAATTTAGAAATCAGAACAAAGAAACAATTTTTGTATTATGTAACAAAGTGGTGAGGTAAGAAATCTTTTATAAAAAGCTGTTCATACTTACTAGATAATTATTACATGCTATAAAATATCAAAAATATCACTTTACTGCATAGATAATTATAATAGTAATAATTTATTACCGTGCTGGTATCTTTTCATGTCAATTTATGTCAACAGATCATCTTTAACATAAATGCACTTAGTCCACTAATTAATATGTCACAAAGTGCAAATAGATATTGATACTGGTGATAATTTAAACACTTTTTCCTAAAGCAGGTGTCTTTATGTTACGTTGTCTTTTTCTCCCAGAATTCTGCAGGCAACGCCATAAATTCATCTGAACTTTCGTTAGCACCCATAATTCCCAGGATGCATGCCCAGCATGTGGTTTATAGCTTTTTTTATTGCATAATTCTCAATGGTGCAATCAGGGGCAGGAGAAACAATGGCATTTATGACTTTGTTGACAACTTGTGCAGACTGTTGCCAAAATGGCCACCTATCTGATTACACACAAATGGCTCAATCCCATTTGCAGATAAATTAGCATCATATTCTGTAATGATTTGGCCTAGTTCCCTCTTGTATGAAAATTGGGAATTCAATCTGTAACAAGCTGTAAGTCACACAAATATATTAATGCTTATATAAATACTTTTTACAATTGAAGGGAAACTATACTGTTAAAAAGTATCTGTATATTCTGCCCCAACGATAAAACAAAATGCAGCTAGATCTCTTTAAATTTAAAGCTATTTAAAAAATACCTACTTTATATAAAATAAACCATTTAATTACCTACTTAGTTAAGTTTAATTGTTCATATTTGAAATATTAAATATTTTCAGTTTCATAATGATAAAACTGTACTTAACTTAGTAACATAATTATCCTGTTTCAAATCAAGTTTTACTGCTGTGTAATAACACGGTTATCTCACTGATGATGCCTGACCTCGGAAACCAAGAGCTATTCCTTATAAAACAATGCCATCAAAACAACAATGGGTCAGGCACTGCTTAGTACAAATACTTACAATGTATAAGCATATTATTAGCAAGTTCATTAGACTATAATGAAATTATTTGTACAGGTACCATAAAAACTTGCAGACAAGGTATATCCATTCTATCACTTGACGCCACCTAAGCTCCAAATATATTTGACTAAGTATGATTCTTAACTGTAATAACTTCTCTTCCTGATATCTTTGACAATAAGGAGGGATTAACTTAACAAATCTCCCTTAACATAGTTCAGTGACTTTTAGCTTTATTCTGATTAATTACCTTGAGGTGACAATTCTTATAATTCACAAATCACTGTGTTTACTTGGGAATCACAGCTGAAGGAGCCAAAACATCCATCACATTACCAAGCAGCCAGATAAATTAACCATGGAATCACAAAGAGCTTACTTTAGCATCCATGTCATTCTCTGCTTGACATATCCTAATTGTTCTAATTATCATATTTTTAAAATGTATGAAGGGCTGGATTAAGGTGTGTAGTTGTCATGGTGGTGTTTTTTTTAAAAGAAAAATGTGTTTATTCATGTCACACAGCATATCTGGCACAGACTGTCAACATAGAGACTATTCAGAACGAGAAGAGTCGTCCCTGCAGGGGCACAGTAATTATATCTCGGCTCAAATGCGTGGGGAGCCGTGTGAGAGGCGGAGAGACCATTACAGGATTAAGTGGTCTTCCTTTCATGTAGGTCCGCCATATTCAGGTCGTGGCCAAGCTAGCACTCGGCTCTTCTCATTCTGAATGGGGCCATAGAGATAGCTGAACATACATTGTGCAGTGATAACATCCAGTCAGTGGAATGTGTCTTCAGTGTCAAAGCACCTAGTTTACACCTGTGACAGGTATATTAAAGACAAGTTATGCAACTTTTAACACAAGGGGACTTGATACACGAACTACAATGATGTGACAACCTTAAGTGATCACAGTTCCCTCATCCACGGATCAAATGACACTCTTCTTCATTTAATGACTTAAAAATACCACAGTCAACAATAAGTTGCTTATGAACAGATAAACACACCAAAACTTCTTACAATTTTCATTTATTAGCTCAAATAATGTGAATTAGCTCCACTAATGTGACTTTAAAAGGAAAAAGTTATCTACTTGTAACTTGAGATATCATATTACTCCTCAGTTTAATCTTTGGAATCTTCCACACCCGTTTTCTTAAATGCCATACCAGAAACAGCATAGCAAGTTGAGATACTGATTTAAGTCTACAAAAACCCTATGGACTTCTTAATCTATTTGAAAAAGACTGAGAAGATTAGAAGTTTCCAGTAAATCCCTTGAATTATACAATATGTGGTACTGCAAGTAGAATTTTGCTTGACTGTAACAACTGATGGTCTCTTGGGACAAGCAACTGAGAAAAAAAAAGGAGCCATTGTTTTCTTCTCTTTTCTGTACACAGTCTGAAGTATAATTACAAAAGCGTTCTTATTTCTGTGGCTTTCTATTTCTCATAAACTCAGATTTTATTACATGACTTATTTCCACATGTATCCTGTGACATCAACTGCTGGTAAAGCCAGTCTAATATCATGACACAAAATAGCATGAAGGAAGCCGATTACACTAATGCATTGTGACATATTAAATCATTTTTTCCTTTATTCAAAGGTTAACGTGTTTTTCATTTTATGTTGTATAAGATTCCTGACCACAATTCTAGTTTATGAAAACACTGTTATGGTACATATGCACCTTAAATTCTAAGTAACTGTTTTGATTCTAGTATACTGGGCCTCTGGAAACAGCTTTGTTTTCAAATTATAAAGGATGATTTAATGCAGATTTCTGTATCAAGTTTTCTTTTTCATTTTTTTTTTTTATTCTTATTTTAATGTCTGTTTCACCTTATCATCCCAACGTGCAAAGTTAAGCTATTTCAAAATTTTAAAAACATTTGACAAAATCTCCTTGATTTCAGATTACTGCGTCAAATTCCAAACTCCTTACGTTGCTACCACCGTGCCACCTCGGAGTGCACGCCCCAACAGCTCCACCTGCTGGAGACAATGCCAAGACGCCTCCAGGGTATTGCAGATAACTATCGTCTTCTCTGTGTGCAGGGTAAGTAAGAAACCATTTCAGAACAAGAAATGCCCATTTGCCAGCTGAAAAACATTTTTCTGTACTATTTACAAGAAATATACTGTTGAAAAAACACTATTAAATGAAATAAAGGAAGTTTTCAGGAGACCAAGCAAACACATTTTGCCAATTTGTGTAAAATGGACATACATCAGGCACAAGAAATACATTTTCCACTATTTTAGCTGGAATAAATACCATCTTTCATACACTTCACTCAAAGGCATTGGTGTACCAAGTGCACAGAACTCAAAAATTAATAAAAAGAAAAAAAAAAAAGAAAAAAAAAGCAATCTGCTTGGATTGTGTTGGACCAAAAGCTCTTCCTAATAGACACTGCTGCACCTTCCAAGTCTGCTAGATTTCCCTGGTGAAGTCATTGGCTGGTCTAATTAATGAGTTCTTGCCTAATAACAGCAGTAATCAGTGTCACGTCTGAAGTGCTCAAGAACAAATGGTATCATGGGAAATGCCTTATTTCCTCAGAATGTTCAATGCCACGAGTCTTGCTAAGGGCTAGTATACTCAACTTGTAGCATTATTTTACATTACAAATCGGCAACTTGACATCCTATTATTTCCTGGCCCATAAATCTCCACCACACCTTCAAACCATAGACATCATGTCAGTTTACCCTTATCAACACCTGTGTGATGATAATATAGGGAAAAACTCCACAAAAATTGGGTATATTTTGGGCATTCAATTAAAAAAAAGGTACTGAGGAAGAACTTCCTATATCGTTTGTTACTGAGAGTGAATTCAGATTTAAACATCGTACCAGGTGGATCGATCTAACTCTATGGGGAATCTCACTAAATTGCATTCAATGTAATCAGCTTAATTGTCTGACATGTCTCCTTGAGTAGCTAGGAGGTAATTAACTTTGATATGCATTCAGCTCAACTTCCCCTAGCAGCTCAAAGAGGCGTGTCAGACATTTAAACCGCTGACAGCAATTGCACTTAGGGAAAATTTCCCGCAGAGATGGCTTGATCCAGCTAGTACATTGGGCTTACCTGAATGCTCCCTTTAACACTTATTTACACATCATACAATTTTTGATAAAATATATGTTAAACTGTGAAATAAACACAAATTCACTCTTTTCTATCTTACAGGTTGCAAAGTTCAGAAAGCTGCTGAGTGTTTCCATGGCAACGTGTATCGCACCTTTGATCGCCTCACCAATGGGACCAGTAAGGAGGTTTACAATGTCAGCCTCCTCATGCCCCCCATGGAGCAGATCCACATCTCCAGGGCCTGCAAGTGAGTCCTCGCCTCCCTCTGCCAATACTTGGAGTTCTATACAGAGAGGTTTTCTTAACAGAGTTTTAGGCTTTTGTTTTCTTTAACAATAAGTACTTTTACTTATAGCAGTGGTGAAATATAGGACATTTTCATTCAAAGTAAGTAATTACCAGTTTAGAGATAGCAAATGGAAAACAACACCCAAAAACAGATTTTTATTAGATTACCATGTAAATATTAAGCCAATCCCCACCCTCTTTGAATAACAGCCTTTACCCCTTTTGGTTTCAGAGAGAGAGACCGCTTCAGGCATATTCTGCTTTGTTATAAAAACTACACAGAAAACTGCATCGAGGAAGACTTGGTGGCGCTGAAGTCAAGACATGATCTATCCCATAATATGAAAAATGTTTACGGGAGTTTATGTGCAAACCCAGGTAATGGTGAACCGTAAATCAAAAGTTGGAGAGATTTCAGCTTAAATCAGCCATTGATATTTGTTTAAGATTAAGCATCCATGAAAAACCCACACAAACATTAACTTACGTATCTCTATGGTCTTAAGTAGTGATCAAGTTCTCATCTAAATGCAGTCATTTCTGAATTATGACTTTTTTAAGTATCTTGCCTAATACTATTCAAATTACCCAAACCAGGATCCTGTTCATGTCTCTTCAGTTTTCAGATTTAAGAGCTTGTACTGGTTTTATTACTTGTACTGTTCCTCCTAATGTCGCGACACCCGGGAATACACTACAGCATACACAACAAGTCAATCAGGATATCAATTACACTGTTCACCACTTAAGTTAGTCAAATTATTAAGTCCCAAGAATCAGAATGAATGAAGTGAAATGCAACATTCATATCTCTGGTGAAATGACCTGACTGCCATAAAATACATTGTAAACTTAAGCCTTGAACCTCGCTGAATTAATTTGGGTCAAGGGAGAATGCAGGAAACACAGAGTAGATGGTACACTTAAGGCTACAAGGAAAATGAGTTTCCTGAGAACCAGATATTGTGGCCTATTATTGCATCTCATAAATTCAATAATTATGAAACAATCCCAGCCTTGACATATCATGACACTATGGGGATCTTCTGAGATGGCCTAAAGTCTCACAAATTGCTGTAAAATCAAATGAGATTGTGGGCATGGGAACAGAATTAAAAGCAAGCATGGTGCAGCAATGATTAAAAGCTAAGGGAATTTATCCACAGATATTTTTTGTTTCAATTTATTGCCCAACTGCATGAATTCACCAAGGTATTGCCTAACTTTTTTTTTTTTTTTTTTGCTTTCTAAGAAGACATTCTTGATACAAGGGTTTGTTGCTAAAAAAATATGGACAGGAATGATTTCCATTGTACTTCAAACCAAGTCACAGTACCAATACAAAAACAATCCAAGTCCTGACAACATGGTACCAATACAGAAACAATCCAAGTCCTGACAACATGGTACCAATACAGAAACAATCCAAGTCCTGACAACATGGTACCAATACTACAGAAACAATCCAAGTCCTATCAAATAATGACACAATTGTCCTTGGATCTTTCACAAGGGCAGAAAACCAGTAGAAAAAAATGCCCAAAATACCTTATCTCTGTAATTTCTTTTCCAGTATCTGCTGTCCTTCTCTCTGAGGATAAGTCAAGATGATCTGTATCTTACCAACATGAACATATCTTCTCTTCTTCATTTCAATGGCCACAAATTAAATCAGTAATGCATTGGTGAATTCACTGGTTCCTCTATGAATACAGAGAGAAAAATCTTATTAACGGTTACACTACTGGAACCATCAATTTCCTGATAAAAGAATCGGCCAGTAGCCAGCAAATCAAAAATGGCTCTTTTTTATTTTAGAAGAGTACCTTTTACCCTTTAGGTTGATTCAGCTGAAAAAATTATACAGAGCAAAGATCAAACAAGAAACCCACATAACATCCTGGGATCAAATTTTGATTCTGATCATGAGTGGACCTTTCCTGTCAAAAAGGCAGTTCTATTGAACCCCCCTTGCTCATGGGCCTGTGAGTGTTAGACCCCATTCCCAGAGATTAGATAGATCCAAACTAGATCGACCTAACTCCCTGGGGGTTCACGCTAAATAGCTGTCAGCAGAGCGGGCACGAAAGTAAATTACCCCCTTACAGCTTCTAGTAGGCGGGACGGACATTTAAGCCATATTACCTGACAGTAATCTAGTGAGACTCCCCACAGGGATAGATCAATCTAAAATCTATGGGAATACGCCCTTAGTTATGTTTATGCTTTTGCTAGTTTTGCTAGCTTACAGCCTGACTCAAAAAATTATGGAGGGTTTTCCCTACCAAATTTTCAAGGATAGGTAAAAAATGGGATTACTTAGAATCAATTAGATTCTGGTGTTCATCCATTAAACATGTCAATAATAATGAGAACAGATCCACCTTGGTAAAGGTCCACATGCTAAAATACAATGTCCTAAGAAGGTTCCATTTCGTGTTCTAGGTTGTGATGATTACCACACCCGCTACGCAGCTATGCAGGACTGTGCTGCTAAAGTGTACAAGGCCAAACCACCCGATATGTGCGAGTAAGTAACATAATTTTCTAAGAAATCACAACATAATGTCAATTACTGCTAACGATCAGCACATTCATGATTATGTCTTTTATACTCCCCCCATTATGGCCTTCCTGTGTATGAAATGGGAAGATATGGAATACTAATTTGCAGATAAAATGAGGCATGGGTAAAAAAACCTATAATATCTGGAATGAGAATTTCTGCCATTTCCTTTGGCACACACCCTGCGCCCTGTAGTAATGATAAGGTTATCAATAAAGCCACACAGCATTACATGTAATAACAGTACACAGCAAAGATTCACTGTCGCCTATATATAGCACTGAACACAATATACTTCATTTGCATCATTCTAACAAAACTTTTCAAAAAATCCACGTATCAGGAATACAACATCATTTTTCTTACGTAACAAAGCATGTTCTATGGTTTCCAGTTTATTCTAACTCTATTCATCAAGCATAACAAGCTCGTTACACAGCCCCCTGGTGGTAGCTCTCAGTCTCACACCAGACATGAACACTATCACAAAGCGCGGCTCTAGTTACTGTGGGAAGATCCCAGGTTTTGTGGCACTGTATCTGCGTCACAACATGGCACAGATCAAGTGACTGTCTACCTGGATGTCTGCACATGGTTTCCAGGCATGCAAGGCAACCTCACGACTTATAAACGGATTAGGCGTTTACTTACACTATCTTTTAGCACTTACACCCATATTAACCACATAACCTACAAATTAACCAGCACTACCAGAATGGATGAATGTAAGTGCTAAGTACTGCTTTGTTGGTGCTTAATAATTTTACAGTTTACAAAGTTCAATAATTATTTTCTTCAATTTGAAACTTAGTACATGTGGTAATTCAGTTTCTGGGCTAACCTTTAGACAAAAAATACGTAATCTGTATAAAAAAATTGTTCTGAAAAGTTAAGAATCTTATAAAATCAAAACAATCTTCAAGGTCCCAATACAAGCCAGTTTTATAGATTAAGACGCCTTCTCTCGATGTTCATTAGAATGCAGAAAATGCAGACTGATGGTATCAATAGGATCAAAAACAAATATGCTTATTACAAAACTTTTACAGTCAGAGGCCAGGTTGTAGATATAAATCCCATCCCCCCCCCCACCCCCCCAACTGATAAAGATATCATCTTGATTTTCTCCTGAAAGCTGCAGACCTCAGCTGCAGCACTACTGCTGTGTCAAATTGAATCAAGGAAAACCTTGGACTCTCAGCTGGCCTAGCAGTTTGCACTGGGAATATCTGTGATAGATGACAACCTGAGAGTGAGGACAGGGGAATGCTTTCAGTCTGAGAGCCTGTCACTTAGTTAAAAAGTATAATGATAAAATGTCAGGCTTTAATCTGCAAGAATGACAGGGCACTTGCTTGCACTTTATAAATTGTCTGGAGGCAGAACACTAGGGAACATTCGATGAAGGATCTAGAATGATATATACATGTAATGGATTCTACTTCATCACTTGGGCACCTTTCTCCAACACTAGGGGTCCTCTGATTGTCTGCCAAACTTACTTGTTCTAATTTTCTTCTTTTTCTTTCAAAGAATAACAAATAAGTATGGAAGCAACGCCCCACAAAGTACCTGCTCTAACAGAACAATAAACCTGGGAGCTAATCACTTTTTATTTTCTTCCAGCACCTTTATTCAAGGAATGTCGTGTCAGAAAGCAGTGGCATACGGTTGCTTTGCTCTTCACAAAATGATCACATTGAAGGATTCAATGTACCAGATTTACTGCAAGCCAGTCCCCGTGACGGAGGAGGTGAGGACGACGACAGAAGACCTAGAGGTCCAGGCACAGGAAACAATGTCACTGACAGCTAGAGCAGCAGGTAAATATACAGACCATAACACCTAGGAATTAATCTCAAAAACTGAGAAACAGAAAAAAACAAATAGTACTCAGGATATCACTAATCATTTACTATGTGATCTGGGCTCTGTAATTCGAAAGCATCGCAAATTGCGACTAAGCGTCTCTATTCCATGACTGCATTTAAATGCCCCATATAATAGCCTCAAAATGAAAGGTGATATCAGTATCGCAATGCGCGATGCTTTTGAGTTACGGAGCCCTGGACATCAGCTAGACACTGGCTAGATGCCTCATCGGCAAGTTTTCTGCTGTAAGGAAGCCACTGGGTTTTCTTCAAGCTGTTTTATCACTGTCAAATAGTTGAATGGTTTTGCTGACTTTCCTCAAGTTGGATCCATGACTGAGTGGGCAAAAAGTTACCCTTTCTGAAAATAGGATTGATGCAAACTCGACACTTCTGACATTTGTGTTACATGCATGCAGTGGTAACATAGCCCTTTCATTTATACATATTTCATTATTTCATAGTATCCCAGGGTGAAAATATTGGGCTTTTGTATACACATGCCTTCACAGCCAAACTGCAGTCACCTGTAGTATTTACTGTAGTAATGTTTTTATCCCCTTTATGACAAGTTGTCTCCCAGAAGAGTAATTAGCCCTAGGTCACTGGTGAAGGGTGGAAAGGTCAGTATGTAACTGCTCTACTGACCCAAGCACCCACTGCCCTTGGGGAAGCACAAAACTGCAGTAAAAATTCAAATAACTTTTTGGTAATTAAGCTCTGGGCACCTGTTAGTGCCTGATCATTGTTCCTGATCAACTGCCACATACCACACACTTCAGAAGGACAAGTAATTTGCATGAAAATAATGTTCACCAAATCTGACAGGTGTTTGCCATGAAAACTTCTTATTTTACTGTTTATTACATTAATGAAGCAAGGGGAACATTCAGACACATACATACGTTTTAAATGTATTGAGAATATGCACAGTGTACTTTTGAGGATTCTTTCTTCTTCCCTTCTTACCTTGTTAAATATAACATGACTCAATGGAAGCACACTTTGAGTGGACTTTTTACTTGTCCCTCTGAAGTGTGTGGTATGTGGCACACAAAAAGGGCTGTTCTTTTGAACCACCTGGACCCCCCCTGGCTACAGCTTGGCATTATTATTATTAATAAAAAAAGTTTTGATCTTTCAGGACTTCAATCATTCCTGGGGACCATGAGCTGGGTGATAATCATTACTATCTTGATGATAAGATGAGGGAGGTAAGATAGCAGGATGTGCCAAGAGATGGACACAGAATCTTGCCAGAGTGGCAGCATGCTTGACTTGTGATAAGAAACAATAGACCAGCTGGAACTGGGAACTGAGCTGGCTCTTAATGAATCCTCCACGGAGCAATTGTCACATCTGCACCCATATGCAAGCCACACATTGCCTTATCAACAACAGCAGGTTGTGTAACCTCACTATGACATCATAATGAATGTTACAATTTTCCAAGGTATCATGTTTAACAGGATATTTGATGTGTCAGGAAGAAGAAACGTATCATACATCCTTGAAGAACATAACACCAAAAACAAAGCATTGATTATTTAAAGGATTAGACTGATAAATCACGGTGTACGACGTCAGTGCTGTCACAGCCAAGAACAAGTGCAGATGCACCTCTCTCTACACAGCAATACCTGGCCAACACAACACAGACGGACATTCCTGTACTTCTGTCCATCAAAATACAATACCAGGTGAAGACTTACTGATATTTAAACTGTGTGAATTCTGAGTTCACATGTTGGTGTTGCCTGGTATTAGGTATAGATGACGTCCACATGTTAAGGATCCTTTCCACACACACATGAAGTACTAACAGCAGTTGTTAGCATAGTACACTGAAATCATGCGCTGGATGGCCACAGTAAATATATAACCTAATATAGGACTAATATAATGGTGCCATATACTTTACTCTCTCTCTCTATATGTATATCATGGTGCCATAATACAATTCACCAATTCACACAACAGCTTTATGTAAAACACACCAGGTTTACTCTGTGACAGTGTACATGCTTCTAACACTGGCTGTCACAAAAACATAAGCCTCTACAGTTCCACAAGTGTTGCCTCTAAACTACACACATAAATATACACACATGCCCCCACATACACATGCGCCCACACACACATGCGCCCACACACACATGCACTTACAGTGATGTCCTATGCATGCACAGTTCACTCAATGTGCTTCCACAAACTTCAAATTTAATCAGTATAGCTAACTTCTTGACAAATAGTTTTGATTAATGTAATCCATTTATTAGGCAGTGTAGGTTCCATGATGAATTATTGCCATGATGTATAAATTAATAATAATTTGTTAGTTTGTTTGTAGTCAGTCATTTATAATGGCACCATGTGACTGTATGAACCGTGTTAAATATTATGTAAGTGACACAGTGACTGTAACATTCCCAATTTTTCATCTATTCGCGAAAGCTGCTTATTCTTTTTTTACAGAAATAACACTTAAATATTTATATAAGAAGATCAAGAAAAACATGCAAATACAGATACAAAATTACTTTTTAAAAATCACCTTTGATCACTTGTTATATATTCTTTGTAAATGTATACTATTTTTTCATGTTTCAAGAAAACAGATGAATATATTACAAGAAAACAGAATAATGGGTAACACACGATGAAACACTGTAGTTTAAAGAGTTCAATATTCTCAAAAGTTAGATATGTTCATCAAGTAAATTGCCCATTTCAGAGTTCAGTTTGTTGTAAAGAAATTATCAACCAGTTATTTCTATAAGATACTGCACTGTAGTGTATCCCACATCTAGTTTGTCTTCACAAATGACATAGTACACAATGTAGAAGAAAGATTTTTAAAAATTACACAAAAACAAATAAAAAAATTTTAAAAATACTTAAAATCAATTATTCAAGATGTTAAGAAAAGCATAAGTGTAAATTTGAAGAATATTGTAAAGGTACATTTTAACTTATATTTGTTTTAACCGTGAGATGCATTATGATATTTTTACAAACATTAAAATAAACAAAACAAAATGATTATGGTTATGAGAGAAAAAAATGTTTTATATAAATTTTTATATATTTATGTCAAAACAAATAAATTTAACAGTTATTCAAAAAAATATGTAATCTGATGTTTCAGTTGTTTGTGTTGATATTTTGTGAATTCACCAGTTACTGAAAACATAACAGCAATCACTGTGATTCAATAAATATTCCTAAGATGAACAAAAACCAAGAACTTTTTATCTATGTCCAGTAACATGTGTGAACCATCAATAACATCAATGATCAAGGTTTTCATAAACTTATTACCAGAAATATGATGATTTTTCAAAAATATTTTTCTTAAATTAATAGACTTTAAATAAATGTATGCTGACAAAGTTCCAGAGCATTGACCATGACCTACATACATGTTGTCAGTGTGGCAGTGTCCGAGGGCTTTCATCCCTCATGATTTTATTCTGGCTTGGGATTAATATTCATTTCATCAGCAGCTGTTACTACCAGCAGCTTTGTTTGTTTAGGAATTAATGAAATAGGCCAGCAATTACTTATTTCATCAGGCAAAAGACATTATACCTAATGGCGGTCACACAGGGTCAGGGAATTCCGCGGGTCAACTGTGGTTATATGCGGTCAAATGGCCAGCATAGGTCAAGGCTGGTCAGTGTGGCTCTCTCGCTATTCACTGAATTGCTATTTACCTTGATACTGAGAACTGGTAGAACAATTATCTTCTACAATAAAAGTCATTTTAACTCAAAGTAATGTGAAAAATATTTCAAAATCATAAAAGTTAGGAAACATTAATGGTACAGTACTTATATTGCCAAAATCCTTTCATCAATTACTGCAAAAAGCAATGGTTCAGTCAAGACATATTAGCTCTAAAAGACAAGGAAGTAATTTATACATGTTATCTATTCATGAAGGGACTTGCTTGTTCAAGATAAACACTATCACATCTTTTCTGTTTCATATTTCACTATTTCTCACATTTAAGCTATCTATATGCTGCTTAGAAATGACTTCTTTCTGGGAGAAAACTGATTTGTTAAATAAGTTCTACTGATCCTTACTTTCCAATTTTCTAGTATTTTGCTGAACCTAGTAGCACTTTCTGATGTGATCATTTTGGAGAAAAAAATGAGCTTTCCTTATGGATCAGAATGCCATCAAGCTGCAGGAACAGACGGCCACAGAAGGCAGGAAGACTGGGCAATAATTACACAATTACACCCAATTCTCAGCCCACTAGCGCTGGATTTATCATTGATTTCTCCCAAATATACTTAAGAATAACATAACCACAAAAACCTCCCATTGAGCAGAAGACATAAATGGGAAAGGGGTTAAAAAATGAGAAGAACTTTGTCTGAGTGTGCAGAAGTTCTCCATCAACTGAATCTTGATCACCCTGACATAATGGTTTTGTTAATTAGACGAAATGCAAATGATTCTCCGTGAATCACGAGCTGATCATTACCTGATGATTTATCTTATTTAGTACCACATTAACTAGGTGACCCTGTGAGAAAGGTTGTGCACAGTTATCATTACAAAGTGTAAACATCATTGATGAAGGAGGCAATAAAATCTAAAATCGCGTCCTTTTACAGCAACATGTCAAAGATGCCAATATCTGATGAAGAAGTGATTGATACTTTGGCAAGGTGCCAAACGTGCCACATCTGCTGAGGGTCAACTTGTTTTTGGAAATAGGTCGATCCATTTTTGGTGAGATGTTATTCTTTCTATGTGGCAATTGGGTCCAATCAAGGGTAATGGATACTGTGGCGCTGCCGTGTGGTGGAGACAGCAAAAACAGCGCTAACTGCACCCTGGGAAGTCAAAATGAATGGCCTGTCATGGAAAATGAAGTTTCAGTTTTGACGTCCAGGGAGATATTTTACCCAGGAAACTGCAGGCTCGGAACTGGCTACAAAATCTGACTGATAACATGGAGATGTAGTATAGCCATGTACTGATATCACTCACTGGTGTCAGTCAAGATTAAGGATGTGCTCGGCAGAAAATAAATGTTGATTAACAACTCTGTCACTTCAGCAGAATCATATTGTTGGCAGCCGATTTGAAAAACTGGCACTAACCTGCCAGCAAACATCAGAGCTTTTTCAGTTGAGAAAGCTGATTCCATTACAGGGTCAACTATGACATTTTTTTTGATAATTGTTAAGATGAGAAGAAGACCATTTCATTTATTTTCTTGACTATCATGTGATAAAATAATAAAATTTGCACCCTGTTGCTTAAAAGGGTCTCTGATGCCATAGTTTCTTTTAAGGCTTTATAATTGTCACATGAGTAGCAGATTACAACAAGACCATCTCACACCAAGTGAGTGAACTAACAACTTTCTACTTCTGAATCACTGAAAAAACAAAAAAAAAAAAAACAGAAAAATAAATTGCCTTTTAGTCTAAATATCATTTGTATTACTGAATGAATATTCAAAAATTCAATTATACTTTACAATTGGTTGCTCTATGCTCTAAAGAAGGCATTTCTCTTTGTGATGTATGACCTTTTTCTTCAATCTTAGACCTATCCAGTCTTCACCCTCCTGATCCCATAGACAACAGTTTCTCTCTCCGTCAACTATAATAGATGAGGAAATGAGAAATCCTATCCTCTTATTCCTCTCTCCGTATCACTTTATCTTATCTCTCCTATCACCTTATTTAGCATCCGCAGCCTTTCTATTTAATTTCCTTTTAATCTCCTTACACTAACTTATTTTTTCCACAATCTATCTTTTATCAAACCAGATACATTACATTTTCAAAAGTGCCCATGGTAACTTGAAAACCAAAACTTGAAGTATTTCACTGGTTCATTGCCGTAATAAACAGCCATCATGATGGTGGTATCAGAAAACACACTGACTCAAGAACCCAGTCACTCAATGATCTAGTGTCTCAGCAGAATACTTAGGAACAAATCACATCTTCTTCTTGAAGGGAAGTACACTAAATATACCAATAAGACATCAAATATGGGTCCCCAGTGGCCGATACAGTGAGGTAGATGTATTCATTACAAAATCCAGGAGTCACTCACAGGGGCCGATTGAGGCCGTCTTCAGGATCTTCTGGAAGATGGTCAGATTTTCAAGTTTACATTGACGGGTATCTAATTTTTTCTATCAGGAGACGGTCAGAAATGGAGGATGGATCAACAAAGATAATTTGGAAGACTGTCAGAAATTATCTCCGGATCCACCCCTGACTCAGTATGTTGATCCCTCACTCTGAAATAAACTACACTGACCAAAAACGACTAGATGTTTTCCCAAATCTTGCCATCTTGTTAACTGACACCATCATTGACCTTTTAAACATCTAATGTCATAGTTTTCTGTACCATGTTTGACTGGCCCTAACATGGTAGAATGCTACAAGGGGTTCTACTACCTTTCACAAGTCCCAATGTACCTATCAAGAAGCTTAGTTCAGGGGACTCCCTTGTATAATAGCATTTCTTCCAAGATGTCACATCTCAAACTGGAGTGGTATAGATAAACTGTACCATTCTATGTGGAAGAGGCCATTACAAACTTACTGAAGTAGAGTTTTTGGCTTTGTTGAATTGAAGATCATATAATTTCTCTATTTCACAGTGAAACAAAAGACAGATTGTGCTAAATGTGAACATTCACAACCAAACACAATGCACCGCTGTCTCAACTGATGCAATCCTGTCCCTGAGATATTATCACAGTGAGGACATTGTATTTAACCACCTGTTAACAAACCACACCATCTCCTAGGCAGGTGATTCTTGTTCAAATACAAATGAACATGAAGTTAAACAATTAATATTGGTTAACTTTTCTGGTGCAATAAATAAGGTCTTTCATCAAAAATCACCAATTGTTACTTCATACAAATTCTTCTTCATACTGTAGGATCACATCCTTTCCCTTACAGCACTTCATTCTAGAAACTGTATGCAGAATACCATAAGGCCTGCTCACGAACTAAATCTCTTGTGGTCTTAACAAAACCTATTTATCATTCACTTTCCTGATCAAACAAAAATGCTACAGTTGTGAGGGTAGTGGTTAAAATACATAACAGAAACTCTAGATAATTTCTAATTCATAATATATAATACTAGATGAAACCTGACATATCAATCATTGAAACATAATAAGAAATTAGTTCAAAATTTATAGAACATCCTTATATACTAAATTCTGTGTGAAAGTCTTATTTCCAGACTTACATTAATACAAAATGAAATAATAATTCAAAAAATTAAAGAAAAAAAAAGAAGGGACTGAGTGGTTTGGCATCCAAGGTTGAGGATGTTACCACTGGGCCACCAAACCCTGCCATCTGATGTGGTGTTCCTGACAGTATATGATACCTGTCACACATGCCGAAGCTTTACAGAAATTGTCAAAGGCTAAAAAATGCCTTCAAAATATACTTTTAACAGCTGTAATCAAATTCAAACTATGGCCACTATCTTCCCACAGTCCTAAGGTATTGCTAACACCTGTTAGTTGTCAACAGATCATTGTGGTTTGGGAGAAAAAAAGTGTAAAGAAGACTTCGGATGAACTGCTATTATAATACAGATGGTTAGTAAAAAAACCAACATCAAACTTAAACTCCTTTCTGCTATTTTATCACCAACCTGTTTTTTGTAGATGGTTCCAAAATGGTTGTTCCTGAACATGACAGCTAGCTCGTCATCCTTCAGTGTGGACAGCAACTCACAAAGGCCGTGGTAAGTTAACTGGGAGGCAGTGGTGGTCAGGAAGTTCTCTGCTATCAGTGCTGCAATACAATAACCAACCACTTGCTTCTCACATTAAAAATGACATTATGAAAAATCCTCATTAATTTTGTGCAATTATACTGCTCCATTAGAATGTGATATTTTCAAACAGTGCTTTATTGGTGGGATAAAAGTCAGAGGGAAAACACAAATGATTTTAAATTCAATTCACATTGCAACATCTCTTCCACACATTTACAACTTTTTGAAAAAAAAAAAAAAACTCTGTCAAAAATTATTTCAATGACATACCTTCAGTGACCAGCTCCTCCTTGTCTGAGGCTTTCTGAGTGATAATCTTCTCCACTAACTGGTTGTAGCTGAGGTTTCCCACTGCAGACAAAATCTCAGGACTCTCTGGGTCGGGAAGCCAGCCATGATACAGCAGAATATTGAGCAAGTCAAATACTATACACTCTGGTGTATACTCAAAGTCTCTAACGCTGGAATGAAGAGGATGAAATGGAATTAAACAAGGGATTCAAGGAAAATCTTGTCATCATCTACAGTTTCTTTTGAAAAAGTTGGCCTTGTTGCCCCTGTAGTTAACCCAACTTGAGTAATGATTATGAACAAAGTTTGATTCAGAGTGGGTCTTTTTTGACCAAAAAGGCAATTCTCTGGAACATGCAACAATTGGTTTTGCCTGTAGGCCAGAATCAATTCAGATAAGAATAGCTTTCATGATAATTCTTTGAAGACAGAAACCTAAGAGATACCTACAGTATATATTGAACTGCAAATTTTGATTTTGTCTGACGCTTTGAAGAAAATTGTTTTTCTGACTAAAATCATTTATAATTCTTAGACTAATAAACTTTTAAAATCTGAATGTGTCTGAAAAAACATCTAGCCGAGGCAGAAATGAACAGCATTCATGGCTGGCTTTCATAAAATACAGATATAATTTCCCGATATTCTTATATGAATACAAAATGTATCTATAATTTCAAACAGAAATGAAAGGGTGGAAACATGGAAAATATACTTTTTAAAATTAGATGCAATAACTGTAAGTTAAAAATCTCAACCAGCTGACTTTGGCTCAGCCCTTGTTGCTGGGTGGTTTACCCTGTAAACTTGACATTGACATCTAATCCTGTCTGCAGTTTGTGGAACACGGACATTGCATCGTGCATATTCTGCTCATAATTCAGTTGGGCCGATTCTGAGATGTTCTGGAAGGAAACAAAGAACCTTTCTACGTTTGGCCATGATTTCCAAATTAGACATTTAACTTCTTAATATATTCCTTGAAAACATATTGCACTTGGGTTTATTATTACAAGAAAAATTGTGGGTAAAAATTACCTTTGGAGCTTGTTCAAAGACGCAGTCTCCCAGATACTCCATTAGCTGGCCAGACGTTACTATCTCCATCATGGCGGGAAACTTTAACTTATTCCGTAACGATAATACATTGATGATGGAAATAAGAGGACATGGTCCATTATCATTCTGAGTAACAATTCCTATCTTCTTCCCTTTAAACTGGATCCATTTTAAGTGATATATACTTTGGAGTGGAGTTTTTTGGTCCCCATTGGCTTCTGCTGCAGTAGCACCTTCTTGGCTTTCCTTATCAACTGTTGCCATGGCAACATTCTCGCTCTTTGTTAACTGGGATTGTTCATTACAAGGAATATTTACAACTAGCTTTTCATTAGCACTTAGTGTGACATCTTTTGTGTTTCCATTTTCTGAAAATGAAGCATTGGTATTTTCCTGAACACCCGTGACTGCAGCGTCCAGTTGAACTGTGTCTTTACTAGTGGACAATGTGTCAAACATTTCCAGGATCTCCTGCTGGTCAATATGGCCAGTGTGGTCAGCAGTGCTAGCAGAGGACACCGCCGCACCATCACCACTGGGCTCCTTACTCTCATCTTCCTGTGTGACCACAGAGCCAAACCCCTCACACTCCTCTATCTGTTTTACTGGTACAGAACCACTGTCATCATTTGTACTTGGAGGAGGTGGAGGTAATGTCTGCTCACTGGGCTCTGTGGCAATGTCTACTGTATCTGACACTGATGATTTTAAAGCTTCTATCTCAGATACAGCACATGTGTTCTGTTGGACACCATTTTGTTCACCACTTGTTTCTGAAATAAAACAATAAATCTTAAATGATAAAAATGTTAATGATTTCAACAATAATCCTCATTTGGCAGCATAATGTTAGGATATCTCGAAGTTAACTTGTAGAAAGTATATCAGTTATAATAATAAATGATCTATTTCAACTCTTTTCAGTAGCCTTATGTATACCACTAATAGTGGAAAGAGTCCAAGGTTCTCTACAGCATGACTGCCATCTGGTATTTAACATAATCAGATACACTAAGGAGTCCATGTAACAACTGCAGTGAGAAACTCATAACTGAACCAGTGTTACCATGAGGCTGTGCTGGTGCCAGGTTCTCCTCCATCACTGAATTTGAACTCTGTTCACCAGAATGTGCTGTGTGCTTCTCTTTTTCACTCGACATAGGAAAGGTCTGTCAGTGCACTGTGGTGTATTTTTTCTTTTAGTGTCCTATGAAGTAAGTTTGCATCAACACTGATCTGAAAAGCCAAACATATTATTGAAACAGACTAAACCAGGTTCTTTATTTTGCAGTTATTAGTAAAACATGAATGTTTTGTTGGTGCATAATCAGTGTAATCAAGTCTTTACATTATATTGTCATATTTTATCGTCTATCAGTACATTGTATTATATTACATTTTTAACCTGTTATACAGTATATTGTACCTACTAGTACTCATGTTTATTGTACATTGGATTACCATTAACTATCTGCCTATCACATCTGAGCCATACCTTCATATATTGGCAGAATATATAAAATGGTTTGCCAGTAACTGTTACTTACTAGTATTACTAAATTCTGAACCTGGACAGCTTTGCTTATATGAAAATTTACAATAAGCATAACACTTATTGTTGCCGTGACCATACCGTTCACAACTCGAAAACTGTCTTGGAGTATATATAATGTATTTTACTGCATGAATTAATGTGAACAGAAACTAAATTAAGTTGATTTAAACAGAGTAAAACTGAAACTGATAAAAACATAAAACTATATGATCCCAGGAAACCCGTGTTGCTGAAATGAAAAATGTAAGGAAGGGAGCAGAACTTTATACATGTGTGTCATGTGACACAAACACATCTCACTGACTACTAGTACAGTACTCACTATGATCTTTTCTAACATGTAATCACTGCTCGTGTTGCAGTTACACTTATAGGTCAGTATTCAGAAGATGAAATGTAATTTTACACAGTTTACAGTCATGTCACTGTTCTATGCAATGTTTCTATTCACAATAAATTATCAGTATTAAATATGTAAAGGCATTGGGCATTTCACAACATGTACCTCAGTCCATCAGACAAACACACATGTAACAGCTACAGAATCCTTTTTGAGGTTGGTTTAAATAGAAAACAAGTATGGTTACACATAGGAAAATGTACTGCGATCGAGTGCTGGTAATATTTCGTAGAATTTACGAATGTCAGCAATATCTTATAAATAACTAATGTAATAACCGGCCATTAACTTGTGATCAGGCAATGGTTGTAATAATGTCATCTTGGGTTGCCTCCATGTTTACGCTTGTTCTAAGGTAAAACATCTTTAACAGCCTACATCAGTTGAATTTATATGATCACAGCTTCAAGTGTATACCTACAATAAACCGAAATCGGCTTCTATCGCCTGCAGTACAAAAATAATAATGCGGCAACACACGATTCTTACCAGCATCCGCCATTGAAATTACAACTCTCGACAGGTGCGTGGAAGAGCGAGATCAAAACATGCACCAGCTTAACTCGCCATTTTGCTAAGGAGCACAAGTAAGTCAAAGTTTTGCAAACTTTTTAATTCATCCCAGTTTTGGATGGCATTGGCAGTAAGTACGTAAAATGCGCACAATAATAAGTTTATGCACAAAGCCGTAGATCGCTGCTGTTTGATTGCAATGTTTCGGAATCCTCTATCAAGTTTTGGGTGCGATCGCGTAACTGTAAAATGTAAAACCAAATTTTAACGTGTTAAAATATTGAAAGTACATTAAATCTATAATTATTTTGGGACCAGAAATCTCTTTGGAAGTGTATAACATACCCAGTTTCTTACTGTCGGACTTCTACTTGATTGCTGTGAGTGTTGCCACTTGTTGACTTGCAGTGGTATCGAGGGGTGTAAAATGTTCATATACATGTATAAAGTTAGGGCGGACGGAGGTTTCTGCGCACCCGGCCACCGCCGTTTACCTGAGTATTTAACATGTTCATTCAAAACCAAATCTCTAGCATACGTAGAGTATTATTCTGCTGAATTGCCTATGAATGGCACAGCATAGAGTTAGGATGCTTATATCAAACTTAATTGGTTCAGCTATTATGGTTAGAACACCTGCTCCCCTTATAAGGGAACTACACGGCTTTTTGTCCGTAACTCTGAGGCTGTTCCTTTGTTCACACGCCCACCCCAATTTCTCATAATCTCAAACTTAACTCTGGAAACTTTCCCGAATTTTTCCCTGTGCCAAATTGACTTAAGAAGCCTCTGGCAACTTAGATTAGCTTGGGCCTGGTTTCCAGCAGTATATAGGCTGGTTTAAATTACTAACAAAACAAGCCGTTTCTCACTGGCCTGACCCCAATCATGGGGCAGCCGAGCTGACATTGGAGCACCTCCTCACTATTGTTCTCACGCTGTCAAAGGGTGGCCTATTTTCCCACGAGTGTATATTGCACTCTAGTTAGCCGACTAGGACTTGTTTCTTAATTAGAGTAGATGCACAGTCTCAGGTAGTGTTTATACTTGTATTTCCTGAAATTCTGTGACTTTCTGTGAGCTGTAGAAGAAGTTAGGGGAGAAAGTGTTCTGTTCTCCACCTGAGTGAGGGATCATGAATGAAGCTGAGATTTATATCTCACAGGTGAGTGGCTTTGTTATATGTGGAGACAGAGTAGGGAGGTCTTTGTTTGCTTACTGCCAGCAAGAAAATGCCATTTTCTGTGCCCTCTGAAAATCTACAAACAATGAAGTTACTATATAGATATTTATGTTATTTTTAGACATATCTCTAACTTTTGAGAGATAGTGCTTTGATGCAGTTCCCCATATTGAAAATTTTGTCATATAAATAAACATGCGGTGAAGAAATCCACATTGTGGTTTGTTTTTATACATGAATGTTACTATTTCAAAGTTGTTTTACCTCATAATATTGAATGTGTGTGATAATTCATGTCAATTCTGAAGACTGTTATTTCCTATCCTGACGTAGCCACAAGTTTTCTCTCATTAAAGAAAACCAGGATGTTATTTTAGGAATGATATCACTTGACAGATATCACCCATCATAGTTTGATATTTTTTTTATAGTTGTGAGATATTTCTGGTTTTTAAAAATCCATTAAAAATTTTTGAAGTGTTTGTTCTATAGAGGTTGACCTAAATTTTATTGATAGAAGATAAACATGCTGTCAGCAGTGCACACCCTGAGCTTCAGAGCTAACTTGACACTAACCTTTTCACTGTAGCCTATCTCCATCGTGTCAAGTAACCTCTGACGAAAATAGTTTGACCTATTTTATATAAGCCAATCGAATCCATGTTTCAAAATTTTTCACCAAAGTTTGGTGAAAACGCTGATTGGTTGATCGTCAATCGGCAATCCTCGGCTGATTCCGNATGCTGTTGATGAATACCTGAAAATAGTTTCCAAAAAATATAAGTTCATTTTAATGGGGTAATATATATTTTAATATTACTATTAGTCATTCTGTTAGTAATGATATAAAAATGAATAAACCCTTTTGTAAATATTTCAAAGGTAGGTAAATGAACATGAATATGATAACATGTATTTAAATATTAGTCATTCCCTTGGTAATAGAAATATATGGCTGCATTGCCTGACCAAACCCATTGTGCATAAGATGTTCAGTTTTCTCAGTCAACTCTGGCTATTATAAACTTATAGAGAAGATTACATTTACAGAGGGATTTTATGTGCATAGCATCAGTGATAATCACCTGCAGCATTTTGACAGATTTCAGACAACTTCGTGGTCTAGTTTTAAAAAGAGTTGCCTAGTCTGCTCACGATATAGTTCAAGCGTTTCCTTTGAGTTACAAAAACGGAATGACTGTAAAAACAACAATTTTGTTTGATTCTGTATTCGGTGTGTTTTATTGGCCTCTAACCTTCTGACTAAACTGAGCTTTTTGAAATTCTATTGATGTCTGCTATGGGAACCATATGGCTAAGATTCCTCCTGCATATGTGCTGTCTGTGGAAAACATGTGTTAGAAAAAATACAGAGCTGAGGTTAGAAGTTACAGAATATCCTGTTTATGAAAAGATTATCTATGGCTGGCTGGAGCCCAAAACTTTTACCACTGGTTTGTGTCGTTAGTTTGATAGAATGGGTGATTATATAATGTTGAATAAATGAGTATATAATGAGTTTGTTACATGACTAAGTGCAATATTGTTTTTGTATTTAACACAAAGTCAGACTCGAATGGTGAAAACTAGTTAAATATTTAAATACTTCATTGTTGAAGATGCTATTGTAATCAGCCCCAAATTATCTCAAAGTTGTAATCTTTCCATGAAATATGCTGTCTTTTAAGATTGTAAAACTGAAGAGTTCCTGATAATTATATCTTATCTTAATTATTAACTAGGTGTATATTATAGCAGGTTATGTTTTCTGTGGCATGTTATACTTTAGTTTGATAAAACACCCTGTGATACAGGTTTGTTTACAGTATTTGAGACCAATCCATATGCTTGATGTCTTGGTGTGAAGAGTGGTCAAACATTTTAGATACTGCTACAACCAGGATACATTGCTGTGGAGATTAGTCAGATTGATTGTCATTCAAAAGGGCTTGATACAAATCTTGTACTGGTGAAGCAGATGTATTCAGATCACTGGTATCTTACCTGCTAAGTGGTGTCCTGTACTGCAGTCTATAGTAAGGTAGATTATGAATACAGACCAGAATTCATGGAGGAAAGAAAGGCTTATCAATAATCCCCTGTCTAGGGTCATGTCAGTCTTTGTGCCCAGGAAGACTGGGGACATTTTGGATTTCTGTTAAAAACATCAAAATCCACAAAGACTTAGGAGTATCCCATGAATCTGTTTGATCACACTTTGATAAATTTTTCCCTCAATGTCCAATGTCATCATCATATTGTTCATTCTTTTAAAACGTAAAAAAAAAAAACTTTATTATCCATCTCTGGTCATTTTATACCTCTGTGTACTGAACATGGCTTGAACTTTTTTTGTGCTAAAAGAAAAAAAAAAGGAAAAAATGGTGACTTTAAAGAGATTTTTTAAAAACCTTTTGAAAAAATGTGAAGGAATGAAGATCCTATGAAAGCATAAAAAGGTTTAGAAATCCATTTGAATGGAAAATACAGCTCACCATTTTGTATTTTATTTAACTAGCAGTATTATTGTATTTCCTAACACAAATATACATTTTAATTCTATCCATGTATCTTGTTAGTACATAAATGCTTGCCACATAATAAAAGAGAAGAAAAGTTAGGTATATTTCCTTACTGTTTCTGTAACAATTAATGAATTACATAAAACAATTGATTCAAGGGATACATCCACCTGTGACTGGTCTGGTACAATCAGGGACTTGTTAAATGCTCTCCTAGAACAATAGGCGACAGGCTGGAATAACAGCAGCCTCTAATTGATAAGGGAAGTGGACTGCATGTGTGCCGCTGCGCCACTGCTGCCTCTCTCTGTTCAACAGCTAGAAAAAAAAGATAAGTTGCTAATTCCTGCAGCTATTTGTTTTTGAGTTGGGCTACTTACAAGAATAATTCTACCGTAAACATGGGCTCTTTTACCCATGAACTAATGAACTGCGGCTCTTTTCACATCAATCAGTATACTTAATAATGGTACACTTCTACTGGTACATTACAGGAGGTTCTAATATCATTCTGTAATTACACTAAGGGTGTATTTCCGGAGATTTAGATCGATCCAGGGATTAAGATTTAGATCGACCTAATTCCCTGGGGGTTCACGCTAAATTGCAGTCAGCCGAGCGCACACCATAGTTAATTACCCCCTTACAGCTTTTAGTAGGTGGGACAGACGCTTAAGCCAGCTAAGCTGACAGTAATCAAGTGAGACTCCCCACAGGGATAGATCGATCTAAAATCTATGGAACTGGGGTCTAAAAGTGTACTGGTACACCTTTAATCAACAAAGCAAACTGTTCGATTTGTTAAATCCCTTAGGATTTCTTCCTCTTATTTCTTAATAAGCCAGAAAGAAAGTTTAGAGTAGCCTATTCTTTAATGTAATTTAGTTGGCTCTGCATGATGTAGTGCCTTCTTGAAGTATACACAGTCAACACAGTAGACTTCCTGGCAGCATTTGCTGTTGCTGCCTTCATTGTTGACTCAGGAGTGTGTTAGTTGTGTCAGTGAATGTGTTAGTTGTCTTGATAGAACACTGGCCTGTGATTGCTACATATTGTATGTATCAGTGTGTGAGTTCTATTAGTGGAACATCTTTTTCCAGCCTATTAGAGCTCATGTCACCTTTCAGAATGGTGGAAATTTTTACATTTGCCACCCCCCAAAAGATTCAGTTTTTGTCTTTATTGGCTTTCATATAGCTGGTAAATTGATCCTCAGTATTTCAGTTTGCACTCATCTCATGGATACTCATTATATTTTGATTTTAGACATTTTATTGTAACCTAAGTCTAGAGCCCACAGCAATTTTTGTTTTTCAGTTGTCAGAGTTTTGGTTCTTCCCCTTGGTACATTGGTTTATTTGTACAAAGGGTTATTCAATGATATTCTTGATCACTATGTCAGCAGCACTGAGTTGGTTCCTTAAATAATGGAGCGGGATCATCCTGGCCCGTATGGTGGCATTCAGTTACTCTGTAGATATGTATAATTTCTCTGTCCTGATCACCTCTGTGTCATCTGCCTTGACACCGTGATACTTGATGTCTCCAGTCTGTCAGGTAGCTGACTCTTTTGGACTTTCTTCATCACTGCAGACGTCTAGTATTGATCAGAGGGGGGTGGAGGGTCCCCTCCATTTAACACACCCTTTCTGCAGGGCGAAGTTTTGAAAAGATACTTTGTTTTGGATCATTTTTTGCTATAGTGATTAGAAGAAACATGAATCTATAAGTCTTGGTGTCCCTCTTCCCTCCTTTTTAGAAGCAAGCAGGGGGGGGGGGGGGGGGGGGGTCTGCTGGTTTGTTTTGGAAAGGGAGAGGGACTTTGGCTAGAGTTATGTAGGATGAGGGAAAGAAGAGCTGTGATGTCAGTACAATGATGGCCCCAGGGCATCCTGAGCTGCAGGTTAACAGTTGATTGTCAGATTTGTTCTTCTCTTCTTGAAAATTGTGATTTACAAAATGTTGTGTTGTCAATTATGATAATGATGTATATGAAACTTGAGTAATAAAGAAAGAACATTCCACCCAGGACAAAAATGTTTAGTTAAAGGTGTCAGTCTCCTGTGTCAGTGTCTCTCATGTTTATTTTCAGTCAGGGTGTTGGTAGTGGCATTATAACACATCTCCTACCATTGTATTACCATTTTGTATACTTCTTGTAGCAAAGAGAACTTGCTTTGATACAGATGGGATGAAATGTTTTTGAAATAGAATTGAGGATTTCAGACTGTTGGATTGTAAACTCAAGTTAGACATTTGTGGCTAATCAGGTTCTGTATTTTTTACCCATTTCTTTGTTTTCTCTTTTATTTTAGAAGAAATGCTAATTAAGATTAAGATCATTTTATTTGTATTTATAAAAAGGATCTCCCTTGAAAGTCAACTTTTCCTAGAATGTGATTCAGTGCACAACTGTATTTTTTAAACTCATTTATTAAGTTTTTATAGTTTTTATGTTCAGTCTACAGTTAGACTAAGGTTTATGGTATGGCATTCTTATAACTGTTATGATAACACGAATGATGTTTTTAAAAATCTTAGTAAAATACAGATTGTAGGCTGGTGACAGTGTATAATAATTCCAGCACATTGAGCAACTTTAGTGTTGACCATGTAGTCAGGGGAGGGAAGCAGGGTGTACTGGGGGCCTTTAGACAGATCATCCCTTACCCAAAGCCTCTTTTGACCAGAGTGCTTGGCATGTTTGTAATATACACATTAAGTAAGCCATAATAACACCATCTCAAAGGCTAACCAGGTAAGCTTTATGCTCAGAATTAGAAGCATATATTTTCAGTGGCAATACAAGTTTGTATGTGATTTTGTAAGATGCATTACAAGCGGGAGTGAAAATAAGATATTGAGCCAATTCATTGAGTTTTCAGTAAAGTGCTTAGTCAGATGTCTTTGGTATTTTACAATAACAAGTGCTTCTGTTTGGAATTCTCGAAATGATTTCAGCAGTGGGAGATGACTGTTGATATTCTCTGCAGGTCCTAGCACCACCTCCATTGTACAGCCAGTGGGTAAGGTGTGCATGGCCCTGCTCTGGGGGATAATTTACAGGCACGCATGTTAATGTTTTTGACAGCTCTTTGACAGAGTGAGGTGAGGATCTTGTCTTTTTTTTTTTATCATCTCTTGTTCCTGTGTTAGGATGTTCCTGATAGCTAGTCCAGTGGTAGTAGTCATGCAGTAACAGAAGGGAGAAGAGAGGTGATGTTGGACTCTCATAGCTCGGGCTTCTATAGCTCTTTAGGTGTGCAGAGTTATAGCAATCTGAACTCTTCTAGCTCAGGCTTATAGTGCTGGACGTGCAGAAGTTTGAATATATATTAATTTAGAGATTAATATAACTATGAAGTGTAGCAGTGTAATCCTCTGGAGCGTGCCCACTATGACAGTACTGAGGAGAGCAGTAATAAAGGAGTTCATCCGACATTTAGTATGGCTGTTTTACTGGTCTCTTTGTAGGCCCCCTTTTTACTGAAAGTTCTTGGCTCTTGAAAAAATCATATCTGTATAGAATTTGATGCTTGAATATAGAGGCATTTATATTAGACTACAAAAAAAGCTGTTTTAGTATTTGTGTGTGTGTGCGTGTATATGTTGTGTGTACCAGATTTGACTGCCTTCCACTCTAACAGCTGGTATAAATCTCTCCCTGTGACTCAAGTCATCCACTCTAGTACCAGTACACTACTCTCAGTGGTGCTGGCCGTGGATACACATTTCTACAGCAGGGAGACTGGTATAAACTAGGGCACACGGCTCCAGGTTGTTCTATAAGCCAGGCAGCCTGCAGGTGACTTGTCTGTACTTCCTGATGGCTGCAGGGGGACAGGCCAGTGGTAGGTGATAAGGGGAGGGGGGGGGGGACTAAAACTGGACAGGTCATTGGCCCCATTCAGAATAGGGGACTAACTAGTCCGAGGATCAAATATGACCAACCCACTTGGATACCTCCCCACGGAGAATCTATTCAGTGTCTATTAGCGGATTAGACGGCAAGCTTTGTAGTGGGTCGCCATATTTGACACTTGGACTTGTTAGTCCCCTATTCTGAATGGGGCCTTAGAGGTAGTACTGATAGCTATTTGGGGATGATCGGGAAATTTCACTGCCATGGAATGTAAGACACTATGCACATTTACCTGGAGTTCTCATTGAGTTTGTAAGTTATCGCTGCAGTACATTGTAGAATTGTTTTTTACATCATTTGCTATGAATCGTATGGTTAATGTTGGAAGGTATCACAAGAAATGTTTTTTGTCCTTCTGCCAGGATATGTTCAGTTTAGTTAGGAATTGAAAAAAATAATTGGCCACATTACAAAATGATTGACATTTTATAAGATTTTTTATAGAATTGTAATTTTAAGTGGTATAGTTTTTAAAATGGAAAATTCACAGATTCATAGAGCTAGGATGCCTGTTTTTCATGCAGAATAAGTTATTTTTAAGCAAAGGGAACTTGATTAATTTGCCTTTCATCATATCCCAACAAGTGGCACAGGGAAAGACAAGAGGAGGGCATATGAGATTACGAGAGATGACGGCCACTCTGCTACAGGACGAGGATTTTGTGTAGTGGGATGTGTAATATGAATACACAGACTTCATGTACTTGCCTCCATACATGTTGACCTGTAAGAGCAGAGAAAAGCCTGTTTTGTCAAGTTTTATTAATTTGACAAAAAGGGTTCTATGTCAGAAGAGGGGGGTGTGTGATGAATGTGCTTGGTTCTTACTCTGTAGGATCAGCTGGTTTGTATTGTGTGTGCCCCTATACTTACTGAGCACTGCAGCCATATATTTTTGCCTCTTCAATTTTTCTCCTCAAAAAACCACCAGATTTCAGTGAGTATTGTGACTGTGGTTGTGGTTGAACAAAGCTGAGGCAGGCAGAGAGAGGGGTTATTTGGCAGTGTGTAGAGGGACCTCAGCATGTGTGCCAGTGGGTAATGAGGCTTGCTAGGGCACCTGCCCTGATACTCTCCTCCTCCCCTAACACTGGGCTCTGCTTGAAAAAAAAAGACTTGCTTAGAGAAAAAAAATAGAGCACCAAGTTAAATGATTCAGGCCTGCACAGTGCCATAAATGACACAGAGGTCCTGTGCAGTACTGCAGGGCTTGCAGTAGGGCATTAATATTCTGCACCAACAGTGAGCTACACAAGAAAACCTGGAGGCAGTCTTAGTTCTGACCCTTTTCCTGCATTTTATATTCTAGGGCCGCTATGGATATACCATTGGTGCCAACCTCAACCGTGACGATCATATTCATAGCTACTTAGACTCCCAGCAGCAGCAGCATGTTGCCTGTGCTAACATTATCGCTGAAGAACTGATTTATCAGGCCACGGACAGCAAGTTCACGGAGGATGGCTATGTCAAGATGAACAGAGAGACAGCCAGTCAAAATGGCCGCAGAGGGGGGTACGAAAACCCTATGGATTTATCACGAAGGACAGAGATGAACGGACACGTTGGCCATAGTTATGAGCAAAGGGATCAAAGTTATATAAATCATAATTCAGTTTCTTCCTCAGTGAGTGTGGCCATTCCGGACCAGTCCCATGGTAAGTACAACTAGGGGTTGAAGTTTCAGTCTGTTGAGTATCAGAATGTAAACTTGAGTTTTCTAATCCATCCAATTTATTAGTTAATTTATATGGTTAAAAGACCTAAATGTGCAGCCTGAAAAATGAGATGAACTTCACTTGACACTGGCGAGAACCCTCTCTGTAGTCAACCATAAGATTGAGGTCACTATGTGAAGGAGGAAAGTATCTGAAAAAACTACTGACAGATGGGAATTGAGAATTGTGTTTCACCTTGGTTTTTAATCTTAGTCAAGTTCTGATTTTATTCAAAAGAGGTATGAAGCAATGCCTCTTAATAAAAAAAAAATTTTCAGATCATAAAAGAATGAAAATATGTAAATTTATTTTGCAATTATTATTTTTTTCCAAAACCACTCTGGTCGCCTGTATGATTCACATTGGCCCCAATATGCAGTTTATAGCAGTTCATCAAGTTTATTACTGTATAAGATATTTAAAAATATCATTTTATTTATGATGATAAAGTGCAAGTCATCTTTACTCCTCCAATCCTCTAAAATTAGTACCTGATGATTAATACAGGCTTCATATATATTTGTTTTGGTTTTCATTTTGTATAACATATACACATATAAACAATGTTCTGTCTTTTAAATGCAGCTTTTAAAAACTTAAGTTGAGATATATTTAGGTTTGAAATTGGGGATATTTAGATGTCTCTCTTGTAGGTGTCAATCCAATTACATCAAAAATTTGTCTGTTTTGAGAACTTTTGACAAGGACTTGTGATAGGAGAGAAATGGCTTTCACTTTTCAAGTTCCTTTTCAACTTCAGAACTGTGCACTATTGGTGAAAAGGGGTTGAATTTGAAAGATTAAGGTTGTTGTTTTAGTTGAACTAACATATATATTGCTTTAATCCAAAACTTGAACTCATGCATACTGATCAGATTTCTGTGGGGACTGGATTTTAAGTCATCAAATGAAAGAGTTCCTTCAGTGGCAATAAAATTAATATAGCCATAGTGTGTGTGTATATGGATGTGACCCCTGTCCTGTGTATATATGAGTGTGACCCCTGTCCTGTGTGTGTATACAGATGTGACCCCTGTCCTGTGTGTGTATATGGATGTGATCCCTGTCCTGTGTGTATATGGATGTGACCCCTGTCCTGTGTGTGTATACAGATGTGACCCCTGTCCTGTGTGTGTATATGGATGTGA